TGCAATGGGATTATGATGTAGGAAGTTTTAGATTTGCATTGTTGTGTATATGATGGGATCTTAGTTGTACTATTAACACTTTATCTTACAAGCACCTATTGATATTTGGTAGTGGTAGTTTTTTCCTACATGTTTCATGCGTTGTGAGATGTGTGTCGTAGGTTATCATGTGAAAGTATTGAACAAAATATTAATATTTATTATATTTTTATAAAATACTTGGTAAATAAATATATATAACATATTTTGTATTATAACTTTGATATTTAATTACAAGATAATGTAAAAAGAAGACAATAGACAATGTAGTTAATATAATAAATTAATAAATTTGAAGGTAATGAATCTTTGAATTGTAGAAAATAAAGATATTATAACTAATGAAATTATATCTATTTTTAAATTTTTTATAATGAATAGCTTTTTAAAATGAAGGCATTATAGATATCTAATTTTAAATTAATTAAATGCATATGTATTATTTTTTTGTTGTAGCTACTGCTTTATTTAATTTAACTAGTAATTCACTCGCGCGATGCACGGAAAAAAAATTATGTTATTATAAATATAAATAAAAAATGGAAAACTAAAATATTTTAAATTATTTAATATAATAATATTTTTGAGCTTCCATTGGTCAAGTATTTATTATTTTTATAGAATACAAAATTACAATTAAAATTATAATTATAATTATAATTATAATTATAATTTTGTATGGTTAATATAATCTCTAATTATGTGCATATTCAAATAAACTTATAGAGATAATTTACATAATTACATTGATTTATTCTTAATTGTATTTCATCTATATTATAATTTTCACAATACAAATAATAACTAAGATAATTACATTTGGAAAGCAAAATACAAATAATAACTAAGATAATTACATTTGGAAAGCAAATTTTAAATTTTGTATGTGTAAATTTAAACTCTAATTGAACACATTTTTTATATGATTATATAATATATAACTATTTTATTTTTCAAAGGTATATTTTTTATATGATTATATAATATATAGCTATTTTATTTTTTAAATGTTGTGCTTTTTTTTTTTTTTTTTTTTTTTTTTTTTATAATAAAGGATGTTGTGGCATTAATTGTAGCATTAATTATTTTCCAAACCATATAGCTTTATTATATAAAGGATAAGAGTAATAAAGTGGCGTGCATACTTTTCATCAACAATAATGAAATCATTGATTTTTTTTTTTTAATTTACATTCGTAGTTGAGACAAATTATTTTGAGAGTTTGTCAATAGATGATGACAATAAATAATTCAAATTATATAGTTACTATAGATATCGTTATAATGATATAGTAAAAATTAACTTACAAATTTTATAGAAATTTGCATGCATTGATAAAATTCTAATGTGTAAACTTGTTCAATTGGAGCCAGTGAGATGTCAACATTGTCAATTCAAATTCGAACCCCATCTGTTAAACATATACTACGAATGTGTTAAAATATATGGAGTATTAAAAAAATAAATACAATATAAAATTTAACATAAGCTTTAGTTACTTTATAAATATTATACTATTATTTTTTGTACCAGGCAAAATTATTCTTATATCATTGTCTGACCTGCGCGACCTAATTACAAAGTTGTTGATCAGAAATACAATTACACATGGACTCTAAAATGATAGGACCATTTTTCAAAGAATTGACAATGTTACATCCCACTCAAAGTGAACAAGTTTATACATCATTCTCATAATTTATCAATGTATGAAAACTTCTAAAAAAATTTATAAGTTAATTTTTATTTATCATTATAACAATATTTATTGTAACCATATATTTCGAATTATTTATTATCATCCTCTATTGACAGCAATTGTAGCTATTATCATTGACAAACTTCCAAAATAATACTCCGTATGTTTGAACAACGAACGGAAATTAAAAAAATTATTCATTATAAAAAATTTAAAAAGAGATATAATTTCATTAGTTATATTATCTTTATTTTCTACAATTCAAATATTCCTTACCTTTAAATTCATTAATTAATTATCTTCACTACATTGTCCATTATATTTTTTTTACATTATCTTGTAATTGAATATCAAAGGTATAATACAAAATATGTTATATATTTATTTACCAAGTATTTTATATAAATACAATAAATATTAATATTTTGTACAATACTTTCACATGATAATCTATAACATACATCTCACAACACATAAACATGTAAGGGAAAAAGTACCACTACCAAATATCGATAAGCGCTTGTAAGATAAAGAATTCATATAACAACTAAGATCTCAGTCATATACACAGAATGCAAATCTAAAACTTCCTACACCATACTCTCATTGCATGATGATGCCTTCTATGCTATCACCAGTAACCCAATAGCACATGGCACACTACCAATAAAAAAAAAAGACATGTACTGAAGATGAAGACGATGACAATGGTACCCAAAATAACATTAAGAAAACTTAGAGAAATTTAAACCAAGAGTAATATTTATTTAGACTATCGCATTTAGAGTAAATATTTAGACTAGCGTTATTACAAACTTGCAAACATTTATTTTAGTGACAATTATAATAATTCTCTCATATATTATTTTGTATTTATATACTTTGAATTACCGATTTAAATAAACAAATTCAACATTCAATTACCTATGCATGAACATCTCCTATATAATATTGCATTTATATATGCTTTGAAGTACTTATTTAAAACTAATTATTTGGTATTATCCCATTCGCGCAATGCGCGTAAAAATACTAATTTTTTAAAATATGCTTTAACATATCTGTAGTATATGTTTAACAATTATGCCAATTCAAATTGGGATGGGTTCGAACCTAAAATATTTCTTGTAAAAATTAATGAGTAAGTTAAAAATAATAAATAGTTAACGGAATATTCTGTTACTAAAGTTTATACTAACGGAATTTAAATTATTTAAAGGAAGAAAATAATTTAAGGGAAGAGTTTTATTTCAGAGCATTATAATTATATTGACTATCTTAAAATGTGATAGTTATAAATTCATGTATTACATTTTCAGTAAAAATATTATATAATTGAGTTATATTGTACATATGACAGTATCACACAATTTTTATTTTTTTTTATTTTATTTTTTTGTATAAAATATACTCCGTAATTTGTTGTTATCAGATTATAAATTTTTCCATTAATCAATTAAGATAACATATTAAAACTAATCATGTTTCCATCTAATAAAGATCTTTAAAAAAAAAAAAAAGAAGAGTCAAATAGGCTATTTAAGTGCACATTAAAGTGCAATTAGGCTATCGAACTCAAAAGAAATGCAATTAAGTCCTTAAAAAACACAAATTCATACAATTAGATTCAACATGACTTGTTTAGCTTAAACTTTGCTGATGTGACGGTTGTCGAATTTTAAAAATAATTTTTAAATTAAATAATTAATTAAAAAAAAACATAGTCCGATACGAATTGTCTCCGGTTGGCTTCGTCTCCTTGGCCATGGAGAAGATAAAGAGACCTTCATCTCCTAGCCATGGAGACGAAGAGCTTCATCTCCTGGTCATAGAGATGAAGGGCTTCGTCTCCTGCCATGGAAATGATATCAGCCGAAGACGATGGCCGTGCTGTTTTTTTGTTTTTTTTAATTAATTACGGAGTATTTTTTAAAAATTATTTTAAATATTATGTTTAAAATTTGCACAACAGGTAAACATGTCATTTTGGACCTTATTGTATGAGTTTGTGTTGTCTAGGGACTCGATTATATTTTTTTTGAGTTTGATGACCTAATTGCACTTTAGTGTGTAGTTGAATGACTTATTTGACATTTATTCAAAAAAAAAAAAAGAAAAAAAGTAACCCCAATCAGTATGATAAGAGATCCATGCTTGCAACCACAATGTTATGGGTTAAAATTCTTACCCCTATGATTTGAGTCAATCAATTATAACTAACTTAGGTTAGCTTACTTTTTTTTGATCATTTAAGTCACAAGATGAGATTTACTTACACTCAAACACGTTAGTAAAAAAAAAAAAAAAAAAAAAAAACTGGTCGTGGAATATTCAACGAATCAACGAGCCGAAGTTGCGTAGAGGGAGGGAAATTGGCAAACTGCAATTTGCATTTTGCTTTTGCAGGCCGCCGACATCCATCCATCAAATATCGGAGGGCTGAAATTCCAAAATGCCCCCCATCATGCATTAATCGTTGCAACTTGCAAATAGATAGTTAGATACCATGATGCCCCGCAAATTATGCTGTGCAACCGAATGCACCTTACAAGGTGCATACGGTTGCAAAACGGCGCCGTTTTGGTTAAAAAAACGCGCGTCCCACTTAAAGAAAAAATCAGGTTCGATTCTCGGCAATAGCATTTTTATATATTCAGAAATTCATAACTATATATCCACAATTTCATAACTATATATCCACACTGAATGAATGAAGTAAAAATCCACAATGAATGAATGAATGAAGTAAAAATCCACAATGAATGAACTAAATATCCACAACATATGATTGAACTAAATATCCACAATGAATGAACTAAATATCCATAATTTCATAACTATATAACCACAATTTCATAACTATATATCCATAATTTCATAACTATATATCCACAGTGAATGAATGAAGTAAAAATCCACAATGAATGAATGAATGAAGTAAAAATCCACAATGAATGAATGAATGAAGTAAAAATCCACAATGAATGAACTAAATATCAACAATATATGATTGAACTAAATATCCACAATGAATGAACTAAATATCCATAATTTCATAACTATATAACCACAATTTCATAACTATATATCCACAATTTCATAACTATATATCCACAATAATGCTATTACTGAGAGTCGAACCTGATTTTTTTTTTATAAGTGGGACGCGCGTTTTTAATCAAAACGACGTCGTTTTGAACCGTATGCACCATGCGCATGGTACATTCCGTTGCACTGCATAACTATTGATGATGCCCATGTTTCGCTCTATATATTAGCGATCGCCGCCCCTCCACGCCTCCACACCAAGCGTTTGTTCGATTAGAGCGGCGGTCCAATTGCATTTTGCGGTGCGGCTCTCAGAGAGAGAGAGAGGGGAAAGAAATACAGAGACGCAGACGATCTTTGGAAGAAGTATCATCGTGAAATCGATCTATGCAAACGGGGAAAAACGCAGCGGCGATCGTGGGAATCAGGAGACGGTTAATCGTAGGAGGTGCACCTGATTATGAGCTGGTTTGATAAGTTGCGCTGCTCTTCTAATCTCAGCCGCGTCATTGCCGGCCTTCTCATATTCATCCTTTTTCATTCCTTTCAATTAGTCTCCAATTTCTTGCTTCCTATACACCCGTAAACTCCACCACCACCAAAACGTAATTCTTAGTTTTTTGTGAGTCCGAAACTCAAAATTTCGCGGATCGTATCGAATTCAACACATCGGTTTTGTCGGCTCGCTGCACGGAAATTTTCATGGATATCAAAGATGATGATTCCAGCTCAAATACAAATTTCTTCAATGGTTAGTATGACAGTTTTATATGCCAAATTTCAATTTCCGGCTTAGCCGTAGAAATGAATGATATTTTTAAGTGGACGTTCTGAATCATTGTTATTAGTTGTAAATTAGATGCATTTGTTATATACTACTGGTTATAATTACCGTAATTGTTAGTCGGAGTAGTTATGTTTAATAAAATCCAATTAATTGGTATTCGCGCATACTTGTTCCACTGTGATTGCTTAGAAAGCACATATAAATTTCAGAATTTTTGAATGCTATAAATGGAAGGAATTACTGGGTGTGAAATTTACCTTTATGCTTTATTTGAAAAATCAAAATTGTCCAGCTAATGCCTGCCAGATGAAAGTGCACTGTTACAATTTGCTGGTTGTATTTGGTAGTGTTTGCGAAGGTGGGGGGAAGGAATTCTGTCTGTGTTTAGTTGCAAAACTGTTACATGGGTGTCTAATTTCATGGTCCTGGGAGGGGATCATAGTTCTCATTATAGATCATGATCATCATAGTTTTTTATCTTAGCATCTTAATGTCTAAAATTGAGACCGGCACTTGATTATATTCTACCACTGCATGTGTCTTTCTGGTAGTGACTGAGAAACATGAGAAATACAATAATCTCTGCATCCTGTTTTGAAGTGTCTAACCAGCCATGAAATCCTACCTGTTTGTTTCTCAACCAATCAACTCTTGTCTTCCTTATGAGTGCAAAGTTTCCCTTTTATCTGCATGTCTGATGTATTATATTATATTTATGTTCATGGTTGGGTGATCTCTACTTTTAGAGATAAATCATGGAAGACCAAATGTATGACTTTGTTCTTATTAGTTACTCGTCAATACCAAGGTTGCTTATGGTCTGCTGTGCTTTTACATCTATTTTGTAAAGAGTTTCATTCTTTTTTCTGATGTATTGCTGTTTGGTTGATAGGTACATTTACCTCCCACATTGGCAGGCAATATAATTCTTCTCCATCTGTAATTGTAATTGGTGGAGGTATTTCAGGCTTAGCGGCTGCACGTGTCCTCCAGAATGCATCTTTCAAGGTAGGTTGAATTCATTTATCTTATCCTCATTGGCTGGAAACTTACTTTATTTGGATCAATTTCACTGTAACAAAGGCTATATGGTATTGTACTAGGTGATATTGCTGGAATCAAGAGATAGAATTGGTGGGCGTATTCAAACTGACTACTCCTTTGGTTGCCCTGTTGACATGGGAGCATCATGGTAAGTGTTTCTATTTCAGAAGTTTTGTCCAGAATGCACTTTTCTGCATCTTTACATGTAGGTTCAATGAGCTTGGTTATATAACTACTATTTGATTTAGTTAGAAACAATAAATACTGGATATTTTGTGTTCTGGTGTGCTCCTTTTTATAATTGTTGGCCTCAATATTTTATTATATGATAGATCACTACCTTAAGAAAGCATATTTTGTTTCAGGCTACATGGTGTTTGCAATGAGAATCCTTTGGCTCCAATGATAAGGCGCTTGGGCCTCAACTTATATCGTACTAGTGGTGACAACTCTGTACTGTATGACCATGATCTTGAGAGGTAACTTACCTTTCACCAGATCATCTAAAAATCAAGATCAGTATATCATTAATACACTATGGTATCAGTGCATCACTTATGCACTTGTGGATCATCTCAGTCAAAGTTACATTGACATTTAATTATTATTATTATTATTATTATTTACTTTTTTGGTGATTCAGTATCAGTTTTCTTACTTGAGAAAGTACTCTTTAGTTGCTATACGCATAGGGTGGCTTAAGCGTAACAGATTGATACAGTAGCTCTCTGAGCTAAGATTTGGTTTAGGTCTGGAACAGATTTCAGAGTGATACTGGGAAACATGATTATGGAATTGAGAATTAATCTTGCTTCATCTTTAACTTAGTTTTTACACCTTAGGTTATTTGCACACTTGCACCACTATTTTAGTCTGCTACACATATAATCCAATGTCTGATATATATGATAATATTTGCAGTTTTATGCTCTTTGGTATTGATGGCAAGCAAGTTCCTCAACGGACAGTTGTTGAAGTTGGAGATGCATTTAGAAAAATTCTCAAAGAGGTATGCTTTCCTTGAATTATTATTTCCATTTTTTACTTTCATAATCTTCCCTGTGCTGCTTTCTTAGATTAATTGTGATAATCCATTTTTTGGCTCCTATAGACTGAGAAAGTGAGGGATGAACATAGTCAAGACATGTCAGTTCAGCAAGCAATATCAATCGTACTGGGCAGATATCCAGAACTGAGGCAATATGGACTTGCCGACGAAGTGCTGCAGTGGTACATATGCAGAATGGAAGCATGGTTTGCTGCAGATGCAAACTCAATATCTCTGAAGACTTGGGATCAGGCAAGTTACTGTAAATTGTTTATTTTTTATTATATTACAATATGATGATTGTATCCCAAATTGAGGTAGTTCCATAGAGTCTAAAATTCATGATTAGTTGGCAGAAAGGCCAAACTTCTCTCAGCCTCACACTATTTAAACCTATGGGTCCATAGTTGTTGAGATGTTAGCCTGTTTTGTCAAATAGCCCTGGCTATTATGACCACCTTTTGGTGCAACACTTGAGATAAAGGAGGATGGAATTTTGTTAGGAATCAATTTGGAAGCTTGCTTATTTGCTTCTGCAGTGCTGTTTTTATTTTGAGTTTTGTTTTGTTTCTTTTCCTTTCTTTTTCCTTTTTTTCTTTCTACCATTTTTGTTACACTTTTTTCCTTTCGGTAAAGTTTATATAACCTTCTCGAGGAAATAAAAAATCTAGGAGTGAGTGAATATTAATCCAGATTTCAGAATATTCATAATTTATACATGTATGCCTGTTAAGTATAAAGTATGTCTTCTATTGCCAATGCTAGCTAGCTTTTGATTAAGTGCTTACAAATTCCATGTGCAGAAAAGAGTATGGGATACACAATATATTTTCAATAAATATGATTAGTCCTGCATGAGTGCTTATATGATAAATGGTTCATTATGTGCAGGAGAATGTACTTTCTGGTGGTCATGGACTAATGGTTCAAGGTTATTACCCTGTAATACAGGCTTTGGCTAAAGACATTGATATCCGTTTGAATCACAGGTATGCCTACATAATGCAGTTGTGTCTTTCTCTTTGGCCTGTTCATAGGTTTTGCTTGTTGTATTGAGTTCCAATAGTGGTTTGTATTACTCATCTAATTTTTCTTTCTTTTCGTCACATCTTCTCTTCTTCTACTGTTTAATATATTTTAAGGTCTATTTATGATGTACTTTGAAGTCCTCTGCCCTACTTACTATCCTCCTCCTACCTGCTTCCTCAAAATATTAATCAATAGAAAGGAAAACCAAATGATGAACTCAAAGTAGTTAGGATATTAGCTATCTTTTTATGTTGAGATTTAACTTGTTATCTAAAAATATTGAATTGCCAGTGAATGTGATACGTTAAGTAATGTTATCTATGCATTTTTTATTAGCAACGGTATGCATTGAATTTTCATTGATAGTCAGTGGTAATATTTTCTTTGTGTGTGCCATTACCAGGGTTTTAAGGATTATGAATGGGTATAATAAGGTAATGGTATCAGTTGAGGGTGGGAGAAATTTCATAGCAGATGCTGCTATTGTAACTGTACCCCTCGGGGTCCTCAAAGCAAATTTGATTGATTTTGAGCCAAAACTGCCTGAATGGAAGGTTTCTGCAATAAGGGATCTTGGTATGGGCAATGAAAATAAAATTGCTCTGCGGTTTGACACTGTCTTTTGGCCAAATGTGGAATTGTTAGGTGTAGTTGCACCCACTTCTTATGCCTGCGGTTATTTTCTCAATCTTCACAAGGCAACAGGACATCCTGTCCTTGTGTATATGGCTGCTGGAAGCCTAGCCTATGACCTTGAGAAGCTATCAGATGAGGGTGCAGTGAAGTTTGCAATGTTGCATCTGAAGAAGATGTTTCCCAATGCAACTGAACCTGTAAGTAATTATTATTACTATTATCTTTGTTCACTGCACTTGTATTCTTATTCTCACTTGAATTATTCTTTGGTTTTGATTACATATGCAGGTCCAGTATCTTGTTTCACGCTGGGGAACAGATCCCGATTCCCTCGGATGTTATTCATATGATGTAGTTGGTAAGCCAACAGATGTATACGACAGGCTCCGAGCTCCCTTAGGAAATCTTTTCTTTGGAGGTGAAGCTGTTAGCATGGAGCATCAAGGATCTGTTCACGGTGCCTATTCAGCCGGACTCATGGCTGCAGATAACTGTCGCCGCCATCTTATCAAGAGACTTGGAAGTCTGGAAATGATGCAGGTGGTCTCATCCAGGGAAGAAATTCTTGAAAATGCAGTTCCTCTCCAGATCTCTAGGATGTGAGATGGTTTCTATAATTCTATTTATCTTATCTATCTATTAAATAATAAAAGTATTGCTGTAGTATTTTAGTTTGGGGTCTCTAAACATTTACTTCAAGATGTTGCCTGGAATTCCATATATCATAGCTGTTTGCAATATAAACTCCCTTAGCTTTTTCTATCCTTAATATATGGTCTTCCTTTCTTGATCCATCTTTAGCTTTTCTAGATGACATTCTTTATTTGAAATTTCACAATAGTTGGCGATGATATGGATTGTGATCTTTTTCTTATGTGTACTCACTCATATGGAACCAAAATGCAGAGTAAAAATAAAGCTCATGTTAAGCGGTTAAACAATAATATCTAAAGACTTTATATGTGTATATAAATTATTTCCCTAATGTATGGTGTTAAAGATATATTCATTATAAATAATTAGGGTGTTTTTGAAAATTTGGAAAATTAGTTATTTTTTAAAAAATAGTTTCATTTTCGGTGTTCGATTGTAGTTAAGAAAATTGTTTTGGTGTGTTTGATTCATTTTTTGAAAAATGAGTAGTTGTATAATTAAATATTTTAATTTTTTATTTAAAATATAAAAATATTTATTAGTAATATTAAAAAGGAATAAGGGTCAAATAGGCCATCCAACTGCACACAATAATTCAATTAGGCCACTGAACCTTAAAAACTAACAATTGGGTCCCTAAACTAACCAATTTCAAACAATTCTTCCAATTTGAAGGTTTCCAACAGGTCAACAGGTCATCCTTCCAAATTAATTATTTTTTAAAAATAAATTTTTAAAATTAATTATTTAAATTTAAAAAAAATATTTAAAAAACAAAAAAAAAAAAAAAAAAAAAAAAAAAAACTGGACTGGCCGGAGACAAGGTATGTTTTTTTTTAAACAAAATTTAAAATTAATTATTTTTTAAAATTTATTTTTTAAAAAAATAATTAATTTGAGAGGATGACCTGTTGACCTGTTGGAAACCTTGAAATTGGAAGAATTGTTTGAAATTGATTAGTTTAGGGACCTAATTGTTGGGTTTTTAGGTTCAGTGGCCTAATTGCATTATCCTGTGCAGTTCAATGGCCTATTTGACCCTTATTCCTATTAAAAATAATGTTATTTATTATTTTTTTTTTAAAAAACCTCTGGTTCCTACTAGAAACCAAACTCGTCGGTGTTGTGCTTGGTCTGTGGAAAATGAATTTCGTCAAATTTTGACAGAAATCATTTTCTTTCAAAACAGCCATATTTTATCAAGTTAATGGAAAATAATTTCTGTTGACTTAATTTTTCAGGGCACATCTAAATATTGGAAACTTAGAAAATGATTTGTAGAAATCATTTTTCGGGTTCCTAAACACACCCTAAAATTAATAGATTAAGAGTCGGAAACACGAAAAATGATCCATTTTTGTTGAAAGTCAAGTTTTTGTTTGGCTCATTTTTTAAAAACATGACTATAATAGCATGTTTGGTTCATGGATTTGGTCAGAAATGGAATAACATTCCTGTGAATAGACCTATTACAAGTAAAATGTATTACAAGCTGCAGTTTCATATAGTGCACCTAACAAGTAAAATGTATTATATAATAAGTGCAAGTAAAATTTACACTGAGCATCAATACTAAGTACACCTAACGTTATAATTAGTTGCACCTAAAGTTATAATTAGTTGTTACGTGCACTTGTAAGTGAAAATAAGTGCACTTGTAACTGAAAATAGGTGCACTTGTAAGTGATTTACTTGCACTTTTTACTTGCAAAGGTGTACCGGCCGGCCACTTGCACTTATAACACATTTACTTGCACCAAAGTTCGAGTTATTTACAAAAATTCTACCGCGAAATTTTTTTAAAATTACACCTAATTCGTTGATTTGGACGCGTTAACAACTTAAATGGTTCTTATTTCTCTCATGTGTACTTGTTCTCATTAGAGCGTGCGCATATATATATATATATATATATATATATATATATATATATATATATATATATATATATATATATATAGCATTAGAATGGCGCACCTTAAGTACAACACAAATCACACACCTTAAGAAGGAAACTCACGCACATTAAGTTTCAACAACTACTCACATTAAGCACAAAATCCATGCACTTTAAGCACAAAACCCACGCACCTTAAAGGCTCGTTTAGTTCGCGGAAAATATTTTAAGGGAAATGGAATTGAAATTTCATGAAAAAACAATTACTAGGAAGATGAATTTCATTGTTTGGTTAGTGGAAAAAAAATTACTGGGAATACTAATTCTATTGTTTGGTTACATTTTGAATTGTAAGTAATAACGAGTATAAAGACCTATATGCCCCTATAAATTAATAAGAGTAATATAATTAAGAAAGAAAACAATGATAAAATAGTCAAACTATATCACTTTTTCTTCACAGCTTCCATAGAAAACAAAATCCTTGGTCTTGTTTTCCTCAAATTTGAGGAATTCATTTTCCCAACACCAAAAAACAACATTTTCCTCCACATAAAGAAAAATATTTTCCTTTGGAAAACATTTTCCATGAACCAAACATTCCGTAAGTTTCAACAACAACTCACATTAAGCACACAAACCACGCACCTTAAACACAAAATCTATGTACCTTAAGCACAAAAACACGCACCTTAAATTTGACATAGGTGCAAAAATTTCGAAATTACCACCACGTTTTTTTTTTATTTTATTTTAAATTTTGGTAATCTTGGACGTTGATTTAAGCAAGATCAATGACTCTCCTTTCACCTCGCACCTGTGCGCACCAACCACATTTGAACCTATATATATATATATATATATATATATATATATATATATATATATATATATATATATATATATATATATATATATATATATATATATATATATATATATATATATATATATATATATGGAAAAAGTGTCAAATTGGCCCCCTAAGTCGAATGGATAGTGCAATTGGGTCCCCTAAGTGAAAAAAAGCTCCATTCAGGTCCCCTAAACCTATAAAATTGTTCAATTAAGTCAAAGTTGACTTGTTTATCAGGTTAAATGCATACGGTGTTGACACGTGTCCTTATTTTATTTTTTATTAAAAATATTATTTATTATAAATTAATTAAAATAATAATAATAATTTAAAAAAAACAGTCGCCCGCTGTCCACGCCAGACAGCCGGTGGCTGTCTTCCTTCCTCAAGGATAGCTGTAGCCGTCTGGCCACGACTGTTTAAGGAAGACGGCCGTAGCCGTCTTCTAGATCTTGACGAGGACTACGGCCTTCACTACCACCCTCGTTCTAGACGAAGGGGACTGGAAAGGCTGTCTTCCTTAGACGGCTGTGACCGGACGACCACTACTGTTTTTTTTTTTTAAAATTATTATTATTTTAATTAATTTATAACAAATAATATTTTTAATAAAAAAATAAAATAAAGATACGTGTCAACACCGTATGCATTTAACCTGATAAACAAGTTAACTTGGACTTAATTGAACAATTTTACAAGTTTAGGGGACCTAAATAAAGCTTTTTTCACTTAGGGGATCCAATTGCACTATCCACTCGACTTAGGGGGCCAATTTGACACTTTTTCCATATATATATATATATATATATATATATATATATATATATATATATATATATATATATATATATATATATATAGAATTACATTCATGTAAAAACAGGGCTTAAAATGCAAACGTGTGGACATTTCTGGATCGTTGGATTTTGGATATCTAAGGTTGTGATTAGTTTTTATGTTTTTGTGTGCTGTGTCCGCCTGTGTGCACTGTCGTTCATCGACGTGTGCACACTGGCCCAAATACTGTGGATTCACACATACATACTACGGATGTGTGCACACCCACATTTAGGTGTGTGCACTATCGTCCACAGATGTGTGCACTCTCGCATTTAGGTGTGTGCACGGTATATGTCCACATGTTTGTATTTTAAGGGTGTTTGCATGTGAATGCAACCCTCTCTCTCTCTCTATATATATATATATATATATATATATATATATATATATATATATATAGTATTTGGAATTCTTCTAGGGAATTTAGTTCCAAGGTTGTCATTTTGAACCGTAATCCAAATCTCTCTCGGGGCTTGGTCAAAAGTTCTAAGACCTAATCAGTGTGAGAGGGCTTGTTTCGCTAGAGCATCGGAAACTTTGTTTTTCTCCCGGTAAATGTGACAAAACTCAACATCAACAAAATCATTAAATGCTGTGAGGCATCTCTTAGTAATATTGTTCCATTGTTCACGTGTTTTGGCATTACCCCGTAAAATATCAATCGTAGTTTTGGAATCGCACTCAATAATGAGTCTTCGCACCCCAAATTCGTTGGCCATTCGCATCCCTTGAAGCACCGCCCAGGCCTCAGCTTCTTCAATTGAGCAGTAACCAATGTTGTAGATAAAGCCCTTGTGCCATTGTCCGAGATAATCCCGTAAGACGCCTCCACAACCTACCATGCCACTGACACCCTTATAGTTGCCATCAACGTTTAGTTTCATCCATCCCATATTTGGCTTTTTTTACGAGTCCACTGAAGGCGATGCATGCCTATCCGGAATCCACTTCTTTGCAAAGGCAACATTGATCTTAGCCTCATTTCGCTCAATCCACTCGATTTTATTGTTTGATACGGCCCAACCTAACTTACATTTTAATTGGTTATTGATAAATGTAATATTTTTTTTTACATCGATTGGAGGGGGCTACCCCAAAATATACTGGAAGACTATACTGCCTCTGCCATGCCTCTTGGCTTAGGTACACCAATGAAATCATCTATGAAAGTCGACTCAACAAAGGGCGGAGGGCGAAGGAATTATACTATAATGGAAGGCTATACTGCCTCTGCCGTGCTGTAGAACGGCGATTCTCTCGAAATTTTAGGCGGTCGATCACCGCCTAGCGTCTAATCGGCGCCTATGCACGATTTTTACAACATTGATTTTAGAAAAGCCCTACAAAAATTTTGATACGGACACACTTACAACATCATACAAAGATTTTAACTTAAGTTCTCTAATGATCAGAAGGGGTTTCGGGTTTGGGAGTTGCGCAGATTAATATTGCTGCTGTTGTGGTTGAGGGGGAGGAGAGGGGTTTGAGGGTGGATCCGAAGCGGAGGAGGGGACCGGGAGGTGAGGTGGTGAGCGAGGTGAGGGCTATGCAGATGGAAACGGAGTATGACAGTTTGGTGGGACCTGGGGACCAGGCCCACCGTTCTCAATGAGTACCCTATTTTGGAACTGTCGTGGCTTGGGCAATCCACGGACAGTTCAGGAGGTGGTGGACTTAGTGTCCAAGAAGAAGCCCGAGTTCGTGTTTTTGATGGAAACTATGGTAGATAGGAGTCATGCCGAGAGACTACGAGTGAAACTGGGTTTTGAGGGTTGCTTTGCGGCTGATAGTGACGGTCAGAGAGGTGGTTTGTGTTTTTTATGGGCCAAGAATAATGGTGCACGTTTGATTAAATATTCGACTAATCACATTGATCTTGAGATTTCTTTGCCTGATAAGCCGCTGTGGAGGTTGACGTGTTATTATGGATATGCACAGAGGGATAGGAGGAGGGCTGCATGGGATTTTCTACGATCTCTCAAGGGGGTATCTGACCTTCATTGGGTGGTTTTGGGAGATTTCAACGATTTATTGATGCAGTCGGATAAGAGAGGGAGGTTGCCACATCCTGTTGGTTTGATTGAGGGGTTGTTGAAGCTCTGGATAACTGTGGTTTGATGACACTGCCTATGATTGGATACCCTTACATGTGGGAGCGTGGGAAAGGGACTGCTCGCTGGGTGGAGGAGCGCTTGGATAGAGTGGTGGCGAATATTGACTGGCTGCAGGGCAATGATAGGGCGAGGGTCTTTAATATTCAAACTGACTCGTCAGATCATACTGCGCTGTTTCTGGATATAGGAGGGGTGGATCATGTGTTGAGGCCCCGGGGTTTCCGGTTTGAGAATGCATGGCTACTGGATGGTGGTTGCAGGGAGGTGGTGGAAAGGGAGTGGTCTAATACTCCAGGTTTGGCGTTACAGGCCAGGCTTGGTGTGTGTGGCTTGGGTTTGAGGAGGTGGGGTGGTGATCGCCATCATAAGTATGGGAAACGGGTTGAAGGTATAAAGAAGGAGATGAATGGTTTACGGGGTAGTCGTGATCCTGTTTCTTTGGCTCGGTTTAGGCAGCTTGATGAGCAGTTGAGTGTGGTGCTAGCTCAGGAGGAGGCTTTCTAAAGGCAACGTGCTAAGCAGCACTGGCTTCAGGGAGCTAACAAGAATACGAAGTTTTTTCACAAGTATGCCACATACCGGAAGAAGAAGAATGTGATCCAGAGACTGAAGGATGATGGTGGTGTTTGGAGAGAGGGCAGTGCCTTGGACTCAGTGGTTACAGACTATTATAAGCAAATTTTTACCTCGGGGGGAGTCCAGGGAGTTTTAATGTGGAAACCTTGCAGTCTCGTGTAACCAGAGAGCAGAATGATGATTTGCTGCGTCCCTTTGAGCCGGAAGAGGTGCGGAGTTCTTTATTCTCTATGGGTAAGGATAAATCTCCAGGACCGGATGGCATGCACCCGGGCTTCTATCAGGCCTTCTGGGATGTCATTGGTAAGGATGTTTCTGATTTCGTGCTTAATTGTTTATCTGAGGAGTCTTTTCCTGCAAATTTGAATGATGCTAATATAGTATTGATCCCAAAAAAATGCTCCCCTGTATCTGGGGCTGATTTAAGGCCAATAGCTTTGTGCAATGTGCTGTATAAGATAATGGCGAAAATGATTGCTAATCGTATGAAACCATTGCTTGAGGGTATGATTTCTGTTTCGCAAAGTGCTTTATTACCTGGTAGGTTGATCTCAGATAATATACTTATTGCGTCTGAGGTTGGCCATTATTTGAGGAGGAAACAGTTGGGGCAGGTTGGGTGGGCGGCCTTAAAACTTGATATGGCGAAGGCATATGACATGATGGAGTGGCCTTTTGTGCAGCAGATGTTGACTGGCTTGGGTTTTGATGAAAGATGGGTACAGCTGTTGATGTTGTGTGTGCAGTCAGTACGGTACAGGGTGCTGGTCAATGGGAAATCTACAGAGGAAATAGTGCCCACGAAGGGGCTGAGACAAGGAGATCCATCGTCTCCTTATTTGTTTATAATTTGTGCTGAGGGCTTATCATTGTTGTTGCAGGACTCTCAGGCTAAAGGGTTCTTACATGGTTGTAGAGTGGCTAGGGGGCACCATCTATCTCGCATCTGTTTTTTGCAGATGATAGCTTACTATTCTTTAAGGCTAATTTGCAGGAAGCTCTGGAGGTAAAGAAATGTCTGGGAATTTATGAGGCTTTCTCTGGGCAGGCGGTTAACTTTCAGAAATCAAGCATTACGTTTAGTCGTAATACACAGGTGGAGGTAAGGGACCAGGTTGCGAATTCCTTGGGGGTGGGCCAAGCTGATGAAGTTAATTTGGGAAATATCTTGGATTGCCTTCTGTTGTAGGCCGAAATAGGAGTGCAATATTCGCATATGTTGAGCAGAAGTTGAGACAGAGGTTCGGTTCATGGAACAAGAGGCTGCTATCTAAAGCAGGGAAAGAGGTGCTTCTAAAGAGTGTAGCACAGGCAATGCCTACCTACACAATGAGCATTTATTTACTCCCTATGACTTTGTGTAATGCTCTAGAAAGGTTGATGAACAGGTACTGGTGGGGTCACAGTAGCTCACAGGGCAGTATTCACTGGATGTCCTGGGACCAAATGTGTGTGCCTAAGAAGTTTGGAGGTATGGGTTTTAAACGTTTACATGAGTTTAATATTGCACTGTTAGCCAAGCAGGGATGGCGGCTCTTAACCAATCCAGAGTCCCTTGTGGCTCGTGTATTTAAAGCTAGGTATTATCCTACTTCTTCGTTTTATGAAACCACAATTGGTGGAAACCCGAGTTATGCGTGTAGAAGTATTTTTGCAGGTAAGACATTACTAAAAGTTCGGTTGCAGGCGGAGAATTGGTAATGGAAGGACCACTAGGGTTTTAAATCATCCGTGGCTACCTGTTGCTATTGATCCCTATGTAGCCACGACCCACCCAGGTCTGGGGCAGGAGCTTCTGGTTTCAGACTTGATTGATAATGCCACCAATGGGTGGAATAATGAACTGCTGGATGAGTTGTTTGCCCCACGAGATGTTTTGTTGATTAAGCAGCTCCTTGTTAGTTTGGATTGTGATGATGATTGGTTTTGGGACAGGGATCTGAGGGGTTGCTACTCGGTTAAAGATGGTTACAGAAGGTTGGGAGAGGTAAATGGCCCATGCTTGCCAGTATGGGGTAATGTGTGGAGTTTACAGGTCCCCCCAAGATGGAGAATTTTTATGTGAAGAGCTTTGTCTGACATTCTGCCCACCCTTGATAATTTAATTAATAGAAGAGTTGAGTTGATTAATATTTGCCCAGTATGTGGCATGGAGGAGGAAACTATCATGCATATTTTATGTTCTTGTTCTTTTGCTTCACAAGTGTGGAATTTTTCTCAACTGCTTATCCCTTCTTTTGACGGCAGGAGTTTTAGGCAATGGACAGATCTATGGCTTGGCAACTCGCTCACTTATAGTTCAGAGGCTCAGGGGAGGATATGTGGTTTGTTATACGACATTTAGATTGCCAGGAATGAGGCGGTTTGGGATGGTTGTTTGCCAATGCCATGTGTGGTGGTCAGGAGGTTCACAACGAAGTGGATTTCATGGACTGCAGCTGATCAGCATCGAAGTACCACGCGTGTAGCGCATGCACCTCCGGGCCCGGCTTCAGTATTAGATGATGGTGTGATTTGTCCTGTAGATGCGGGCTTTCACGGTCCAAATCATGCACCGGCTTATGGTTTTATAGTGCACATGGATGGAACCTTTGTGGCGGCAGGGAATGGTCCTCTTATTTGCCCATATGACCCCCTCTTGGCGGGAGCAATGGCTTTGTGTGAGGCTTTATCATGGCTAATGGATAATGGCTACTCAAGGATTTCAGTGGGCTCCGATAGTCTTGTTTTAGTTTCTAGTCTTAAACATGCAAGTTCGTTTCGTACTTATTTTGGTTATGTTTTGCTAGCTTGCAATCGTTTGTTATCTTCTATGACTAGTTCATCAGTTATTCATGTTCGTAGGGATGATTTACAGGCTGCCCATGTTATGGCTAAGCATGTAACTGCCTCTTTGGCACATTCTCTTTGGAGGGATATTCCTCCTTCTTTTCTTGAGCCTGGAATGACTAATGCAATATAAGTTTGTTGACTTTCAAAAAAGTTCTCTAATGATCTTTCAAAGATTTGTAAACTTGAATGAGAATACTATAGTGCATTGTCATTTAATCGATAAACATAAATTTTCCTTTGCTCTTTGCTAATCTCATACGCTTTGGTTAGTTTAGGTATATGGTTCTTATCCCCTCTCTTTGAGTGAACAAAATAAAAATCACGCTTCAATATTATTAGTCTAGTAAATGAAAAAACTCGATTAAAACTTATTTTTCAGTAAATGAGTAAATGTTCACAAACATTAGAATTTGAGTTAGACACCAAAATACATGAATTATCAGAAAAAAAAAAAAAAAACATAAAAAAGGGAGCCGGTAAAACCAGTAAACTAATATGGGCCCAAGCGAAGGGGTGGAAGATGGAGAACTCGAAATTGTGCTTTTGGGTTGTTTGACTGTTTCTCGTCCCCTTCCGACACGCAATCGACAACTCCATTGCACCTTTCTTGTTTTTTCTGTTTAGACAACTCCATTGCACCTTTCTCTTCTTCCTTCTTCCGTTTTCTCCAACACGCCTCTAACCTTCTGCCATTAGAACTCCATTTTAATTTTCTCAGAATTCTTAAATATACTCCCTATCTCTTTATTTGCTTCATCTCTTCCTTCCGATGGCGTCCAGCGGTCACAGTAATCTCAATGCAAAACTCGTAAGTCAATTACATGCATGAGCTCTGTCTCTATGTGTATGTGTACATAACACACACTTATATGTAGCAGGCAGCATAATTTTATTACGATTCTCGTTTTTAAAATCTCGAATCTGATCGGTAGGTATTGTTGGGTGACATGGGAACTGGAAAATCCAGCCTTGTGCTACGATTCGTCAAGGGACAGTTTCTCGAATTTCAGGTGATTTTGCTTTCTAGGGTTTGCGGAATATTGGATTCTCTGTTTCATTTTTTCTTCTGGAATGATGATAATTGGTACGGGGGGATTGTTGGTGATGAGAACGGCGATTGTTTGCAGGAATCGACGATCGGTGCGGCGTTCTTCTCGTCTACAGTGGCGGTGAACAACAACACAGTGAAGTTCGAGATCTGGGACACGGCTGGCCAGGAGAGATACCACAGCTTGGCCCCGATGTACTACAGAGGTGCTGCTGCTGCAATTATCGTCTTTGACATTACTAGCACGGTATTGTTTTGTTTCTCCAATATGGAAAATGATAATGCATCTTTTATTTTCAAGTTGAGCTGTTTCCACTTTTGAGCTAGTATGAACTATGAAGCATTGCAAGTTTTGGCAACTCAGGTTGGAGCTGTTTCCAAGTTTTAATTAGCTAAACTTGATTGTATATTCATACACCGGTGAATAGGAGTGTTGCACTTGTGTGTCTTTACAGATAATTTTGTATAAATATAATGTTTCATTGCAAGAGTTGAAGATTTAAGTCAGGATGAGAGAGAATGTTAGACAGGGAGAGGTTTGTTGGAGTTGATGGTGTATAGACGCAGGAAAAGCTTTAGTGTGAAAACTGTTGTATCCGGGACTCACTAACAGGTATTTGTGAAGTTCCTGGCTCAAATGATTCTCGCATCAGACTATCAGAGGAACCAGTATGCCGATCATGTTTTCTTACAAGACTAGAGCTTGCTTGTTACATTGGTATTGTGATTATTTTACTGTGTGCACGAGTGAGGGAAAAGTAGTAACCTCACCGTATATATTTAGTGAGGCAGGAGGCTTTTTCTTTTCTTCTCGGGGTGGGAGAGTGGTTGAGTAAACAATTGCTTTATTGCCCACACTGAATACTGCTGCTTCTTTATCCATGTTGTTCCTGGTTTGAACAATTGATTTTATTCCCATTAGGGCATTAGGCATGATAATGTGATTTTTGACATAAGGTATGCTTTTGGATAAGTTTGAATATGTTAATTTCATGATTTTGCTGATTAAGTAGTGTTTTAATTGTTGCTTGTATATAGGATTCTTTCGCACGCGCAAAGAAGTGGGTCCAGGAATTGCAGAAGCAAGGTGCTTAGCACAAACTTAGGATAATTTTTGTTTGTTCCTTTGGTATTTTACTGTTTAGCACTCCATCTTATATGCAAATAGGTTCCGCAAAATGTTTTATCCTTAAAGAAGAGTTTAATCCTAAAATAAGATATTAATTTTGTTTATTGCAAAATACATATAGGCAGTTGAAAAAGGAAGTTATTTGACGTTTCAACACTTGCAGGTAATCCCAACATGGTTATGGCACTTGCTGGAAACAAGGCTGATCTGGAAGATAAGAGGACCGTGACAGCAGATGTATGATTATCAGATTCTCGTATTTGCGTTGTATTCTGTTTGGAGTCTGTTGAATTTCATTTTCTCTGTGCTGTAGTTTTCCTGTTGGTGAACAGTGAGTTGTTTTGCAGGAGGCACGAGTGTATGCAGAGGAAAATGGTCTTTTCTTTATGGAAACTTCTGCAAAAACTGCTCTTAATGTCAACGATATTTTCTATGAAATAGGTAATATTTTTTATATTGGTTCTTGCCTTAATTCTCTCGACTCTGTTATCATTTATGTGGAATAAGTACTACTTGTTGTTCCTTCCCTGACTTTATAAATGAAAATATGTTTCATGTGTAGTTGCAGCTTTTTTCTTTATTTGGCAATCCACTTGACACTGATAACAGTTATTTGGTTTATGAGTAATATTGGAAACCAACAATTCATCAAACATAATCTTACCTTGGACTCATTCTAAGTTTCCTCTTGCTTTGAATGTTTGGATATTGTGTTCTTGTGTGTGTAGTTCTTCAAGTTTTTGCTGAAATATAAGGTATTCAAGCCAATGTTATCAATGCTAGGGTAAGTTTGACTTTCATTAATGACATATATAGAAATTTCAAGGCAATCCTGAGATTAGAGGGTAGTTACTGTTCACTTTACATATCTGAACTTTTGATAGTGTTATTAAACTTGTTTTTGTTTGCATATGCTTGAGATTAGATGGTTGTTACTATTGAGTATTGACTTTACATGATGTCTCTAACTCTTTTTTATATGTCCACAAGTTTGTGGTACTGCACATAATTTGTTTGCCTAAAGCCCTAAACCTTAAGGAAGGAAAGTACTCTTTTATGCAAAAGATGCAAAATACTCTGTGCACTGTATTATAATATTGTCCGTGATACCTACATAGCTTTAGAAACCTTGCGGTGTTTCCCATCCCCACTGGGGCAAAGAATTATTTCACCATCCCCAGTCAAATGTATACAATTCTTCACATTAGAGTAGAAAAACAATTATGCAATTCCAATACCAAAAAAAAAAAAAAGAAAGAAAAAAAGAAGAAGAGTTAAGGTCTTTACATTAGAATGCATAAATTATGCAATTCAATCTTCATATGCGAAATAAGGGAACCTATAATTAATGAATTACCACAACTGAGTTACGAATCATACATACATGATACATCCTCAACACTTGCCCAAAATAATATTCAAACATTTCATACTAAAAGTGAATATGCTGTAGTTCACATATGCTTTGGTTTCAATTGTAGTTTTGCATTAAACTAATGGCATAAAGGAATCGGAACATCAGGTGCTATATACATAATATTTTAGTATAAATTTCAGGGATAGGGTGGGGTAGGGAGATCTCCCTGCCCCCATTCCCTGAATTTTATCCCGTCTCCATGGGGCTCAGGTGAAATTGCTATACCTGTCCGGCACTTTGTCTAACCTAGTGGTGGCGGAGCCTGAAAAAATGTTGGGCAGGGGTGAAGACTGAAGACGTACACTTAGAAACTATTGAACTACCTTAACTGGATTATTTTTCAAAAGTAGATTTCCTTTTGAAATATATTTTCATAAAACATATTTTGAATTTTAACGTTCCTCACAATTTAGCAACATATTTTTAGTATCCATATATCATCAATTCATCAATTTAAGTATGAAGTTGGGAACATTTGTCTATTTGTCTAACGATATTTAATCAATTCATCTAACAGCATTGATTAATTTGGCAAGTTGCAAGCATGTGTACATGTTCATCAATTCATAAATACATTATAAAATAACTAATAAATTAAACCAAATTTCAGAAACAAACTAATAATTTTTTACTTTCTATTCTTTAGTACTTATTTATAATTAAAAAATACATACATAATACTAGTAGTATTTTTTTAAAAATTCAGTGGGGCCAGTGCTGTGGCTCCGCCACTGTCTAAACTTAGGTGCTTGACTTTTCCTTGATGTTAACATACAAACCAAAAGAGTTCAAATATGGAGATCCTGGTAGTCGATTTCATCTTTAGACTTTCAAATTGTGGTCATTTATGAGAATGTGTTCCAGGATACAAACTTGTATACATAAATATGTGTGGAAAAATAGTGGAACCTAAATACTTGTATTAGTTGCTTCCTTAGCAAATTCTAGAAAACTTAAAGTTGGGTAGTGTAATACTGAATAAATGTTCTCTAGTTATGATATGAAACATACCAAACTTAACATAACTTTTGAATTTATCATTTATGATTATGTTGTTTTATATCCTGACATATGCTTGAAAAAAAAAAAATATAGTGAAAAGGGGACATTTGAATGTTTCTTTCTTCTTGTTTGAGAATTTTTTGGTTAATTTTTTTTTTTCCTACTTGCACATGCAAGTTAAGCAGATTTTCCTTTGACTTTCTTCTTTCACTTCACATAGCTTGTCTGTGTGTTTTCCTTATTGCTATTATATTCACCTTTTAACCAATCATTGGTTGTGTTTCTTCTACAGCTAAGCGGTTGCCTAGAGCTCAAACTGCTCAAAATCCATCAGGGATGGTTCTTGTAGACAGACCAGCAGAGGGAACCAGATCAGCATCATGCTGTGCATAAGTATTGTCTTCTGTTCACCTTATTCTGATTCCCTCCCTCCCTCCCCCCATATTCATTTAGATTTAGATATTTGCGTGTATGTGATGGCAATATTGCAGTGTTTGAAGACCATCTCTAATAGAGTAAGTTTTTTCAGGAAAAGTTAACTGTCCTTTTAGGTGCACAAAACCATACGTTCTGTAGTATTGTGTATAATAATTTTACTGGCATTGCTTATTCTTTTGGTCATCGGTTTGAACATATTCACTTAAGTTATTGACCGTGTATTTGAAGACTTCCCTATAAGTAAACATTTATGTAAATCTACTATTGGTGTGTCCCAGGAGATGAGAAATAGCAACCTAATGCTTTGAAGTAATCCATTAACAGCTCCACAACTCTCGAGCTACTAAAGGTTTGTTGATGGTCTTATAATGACCTTCATTCAATTGGAACACTTATCTTTCTCTGGGTTATTTTTAATTCCTCAGCTGTCCAAAACTTTCTCATTTCATGATTATGATCTGACTGCACAAATCAATGTTACCATTCTAAATGTGTGGTTTTTAAATCGAAAAAGGGAGATACTGATTCTTTAAGTTGAGAAAGTATAAAATAGATAAGATCTCTGAGGAGCACTCCCTCAATGGTATCGGCCAACAGCCAATTTTCTAATTTAAATAATTAATATAACATGCTAGTCAAAATTATTATACACTAATTGCTAATTCCCAAATAAGGCTTTGCATAAAAGTGCTGGTTCTGATCTATCAGTATCAAAGAAATACAATGAAAATTTTATATTTTTGTCAATATTTAGTTCCCTTGATTCAAAGTGCTTATTTGTTAGCCATTGATGTTTTTCTTATTTCAATTTTACTATAAATTGCTGATGAGTAATACTATATATACTTTCACTTTCTACTTAATTTTTTACTCTCTGTTTACTTAGTACATTTTGATTCATTAAAAAAAGCCACAGTTTTTAATCTTTTCTTTTCTTTTTTCCTCTAATAAAATCAATACACATAATGAGAGTTTTACTTATTTGGAGTCTATTTATTATTTTTCATTACTTATATGACAAATAAAAAATAGTAACAGTACATTGATATTAACCTGACGACCAAAAATGCTGATAAATTCATTATACTTCATGGACCATTGGAATAGAAATGTCATTTTCAAATTTGCTTTGTTCACGTGGTTTCCATATGGTTTTAACACAAATTATTGCAACAGTGTCTATGGGGTGGTCACGTCATAAAAATCATCTTTACTTTTTATCAAAAGGAGATTTGATTGAATTGATGGTAGGGTTGGTATGAAATTTGGAAATCTGAAAACTGTTTTTTAAAAAATAATTTTTGAAAAATGACTTGTTTTTTTTTTTTTTTTTTTTTTTTTTAAAATAATTTAATTTGTAATGTTTGTTTGAAGGTCATAAAATTATATTTTTTTATTTGGCTGAAAGTTAATAAATTATATTGTTTTCTACTTAGTAGGTGGTGGTGGTTGTGCTGTGGCGGCAGCGATGGAGGTAATAATAATATGAAAATTAGTTTAAAAAGATATGAGAAAAAGATAAATACTGAAAAATAAAGAATTAAAAAAATGTCTTCTACTAAAAATCTAGTAAGACATATTCTATCAAATTGAGTCTTTTTTTTCGTTGACCAACACGGAAAAATTCGAAAGTCTAAAGCATGAATCCTGATTTATCCATACCCTAATTAATGAAATTAATCAATTAATAGAATAATACAAGAAAAAATCAAGAGCTTCGAGCCAATAAAGACTGAGAAGAATGACTCAAGACTTTATTTGATTATTCTTACGAGCTCCATTGTCAAATTCGGACCTAACCATTAAGTAAGAAGCAATGGGAACGACGGAACCTGTGAATGAAAAAAATTCCATTGAAAAAAAAAAATATTAAAGATTCACTGGTTGGGATGGCGGAATGAGCCGGAGATCTATTTATCTATTCTGAGATCTGAGACGTTACGAGCTAGCCCTACAAGTGAAATAGAAATTGAAAGAGTAAATATTCGCCCGCGAAAACTTTTTTTTTTTTTTTTTTTTTTTTTTTTTTTTTAATTTTATTGCAAAATCAGTTTTTGGGAGTTTCAAACTGACCTTTAATGTTAAATCATTGGATTTAATTAGCAAAATATAAATATATAGGATAGGGATGAAAATTTCATAAAATAATTATACATTCAACAGTATTAGGCTTTTATATTGCACCCCCCAAAAAAAAGTATTAGGCTTTTATATAATGATGACAACGATAATATGATTTGTACACTAATTTTTACATTCTTTTATGTTAAGTATTTGAAAGATTATTTACTTAGATTTACTTTTAAGATTTACTAGTCACTACTCTTAATTTATGTCAGTGTTTTTAGTACATTACACTAAAAATATTATACTATTATTTTTATAAAATAAAATTAACCTTACATAGTTAAACTTATATATATATATATATATATATATATATATATATATATATATATATATATATGTGTGTGTGTGTGTGTGTGTGTTAAATGATACCATGATTATATTTACTCATTTATTATATTTAAAGTTCTTAATTTAAAAGTTCTTAATTTAACAATTATTAATCATACGACAATTATTACACTAATTATTAACTACACTTTTTGATGTTTAGTATACTAAATGTTAATGTTTAGTATACTAAATGTTATTTTTAATGCATGTATTGAAAATTCATTTTAAATAGTATATCAAATAATGCACATTGTGTATTCAAAAAAAAAAAAAAAATGCACATTGTCAATGACCTTGTGGTCTAGTGACATGAAGTGACTCTCCTAAATGGGAGGCCAAGAGTTTGAGTCCTAGTGGGGGCGGCATTGACTCTTTGTGCTTAAATTTTATTAGGAATGAGTA